TGAACGCCTTCTTGTAATCAATCCAAGATACATTCAAGTTGGTCTTCCTTCTCTTTCAATTTTTCAAAATCATTTTGTCAATTAGGAGCTGATTTTTTATTCCTCTGCTGTTTGGGCAATTTCCTTTCTGCTCACATGGAAAGAGCTTGTTTTCAACTAGATGCTGTTGGACTGCATCAGCTACCCCACCATTTAGCAATTTGAAAGTTGTTGGTAAACAGGTCACTGGCCTGTAGTTGCCGGATGCTGCCCCTTTTGTTGGATCTTTTATTATCAGGTAGGTTTTGCCAGATGTTAACCAATCTTCAATTTCACCTCCTTGCAGTATGTTGTTAAACTGCTTGGCAATGAGTAGGTGGAGACCAGTCAGTTTTAACCAAAAATCATGCAGTTCATCTTCACCTGATGCTGACCAATTCTTGATCTTCCTTGCCCTTTTCTCTACCATTTTGGCTGTTATTACAAGTTATTTCATTTCAGCTTCTTTTTTATTCTTATCCACCTCCTTTATCCAAGCTGCATTCTTTGAATTTCTTTGGATTGTCCCATTGTTATCATTATTATTATTATTACTGACCATCCTTTCCTTGCAAAATGCCCCTAATATGTGTTGACCTTATCTACAAAGCCTACATTAAAGTACTGAAGACCAACACCTCTGGAAGGTATCAAAAATGGGAAAGTTGGTTTCATAGAATGATAAGCAAGCACACTTGTTCAGGCTCTGTGTTTATTTGTAGGAGAATGAGGTGGAAGAGAGCTGAGATGGCATACTACAGATGTATTTCAGATTACTTTTTTACATTGTAAAACATTTTAGAGCATTTAAAAACAAATGCAGATAGGAAGTTAGCAGAGCAGAGAGGAGGCGGAGATAAAACTATTCTTATTAATGTGCTAGGGAAGATTTTTAACAAAAGAGAATATTGAAAACAAATTTTCTTCATCTGTATTCCATTAAGATCATGCCCCCCTCTTGTCTGGTTAGTTTGGGGAGAAAACGTTAGAAGGTTAAAAATACAAGAGGTTCTGGAACTCACACTTGCCTGCAAATTCTTTACTCACTAAGACGTTGCGAGCAGATTCAGCCCTAGGACTTCTGCAGCCATCCAAGTGGTTGGGAGAATGATTGACATGCTCCCATCAAAAAGGAATTGTCTATTCCTGCATTAATTAAGTCATTTACACTTTAGAAGGAGGGGGAAGCTAGAGCTCAGACTGTCCCAGGAGTTACAGATACTAGTTTTGCATCCATGTATGCAATATTTCAAAATTGGCATTTGGTTATGGAAGAAATGTAATATACCCACACAGACTGATGTGTACTACACATTTGGGAAAAAATATTTAGAGCCAAGCTGATACAAGCTGTCTTGGAATCCATGGACCCATCCTGAATCCAGTTGTGTTAAACCTGGATACTATGCAGTACTCTGTACATGACCCAAGACACGTTATTTGTTCTATTCAGTTGTATTATACTTAAGTTCTGATATTAAGCCCTGTTATAATTTTTTTTCTCTAAATTAAAATTAACTGAGCTATTTCATTCCATGTCATTGGAAAGGCTTTTTATTACTTCATGTAGTTATGGCCAGTAGCTTATATCTTAACACTAGAAGAAAGATTGCCTCAAATATATTTATGATTTGAAAAGTTATTTTAAAAATTTGTCAGTGACCTATGGTGCACAGAATTTCCAACACTGCATATAAATCACCACTGATCTCCAAGCTATGCATAAGTCTTAGACAGCAAACTGTCCTTCTTTGTGGCCCAAGGCACAAAGAATTTGAAGTACTTAGAACAATAAGCAGAATTTTAGCCAGAGGAGGTACTATATATCACATCAGTGGAATTTTAGTGAATTTCACATTTACTAGCAAATGCACATTGGCTTCAAAATGTGTGAGACGCATTCACTGCAGCATTATATAAGTCTTATAGTAAAAGAAATGGACAAGACTGAATGTGTTCACCAAATTTTGCATGATTGATAATTATAATGCCTATGATTACTGTCTAAGTATTAAAAGAGAAATCCTACTGAGTTCAATAAGGCTAACTTCCAGAGAAGTATGTTTGAAATTTTTTCTAAATATCTTGATATATTTTTTATATTCAAATATTTCATTATCTTTTTATAGGTATGAAACATTATACCTACTGTACAGATGGCAACTGAAACATGATTTAGTTGACCGAAGTCTTATTAAGTATGGAAAGGAATTCTAACAGGGAACATATGGAGGACTAGGATTTTTTTACATGAGTGAATTTCAAAGATCTGTGTAAAATAAAAGCTTGAACTGGGGGGGGGGGAATGATGACATATGTGCCACAAATATACCCATTTTCTCAACCAAATGATTTACACCATACAAATTACACAT